TATGAGGATGTTTCCACCCATGGTTTTGCCCTCAGTAGTCAACATGATTAGCAGTATGGCATGATTGTCGTGAGATCTGATGCAAAACCAGGTACCTGGCATGTTCTGGTTTAGCAGCTTTCTTGAATGGTCAGATAGTTGAACTACCTGCACGTTTGCTTATGGCACAGATTTAGAGATTAGTGGAAGGAAAGGATAGACTGATGAATTCTGGTGGCAGCAGTACTTCAGTGACTAAAGCACGGAGTTCAGAGGATGGCAACACATTAAGCAAGTGCTATATACTTTTACAGCATAATCTATCATGCATCTTCTTTTCCTTGGATGAAATCGCCTTTTAGCAACATCAGCACAAATATTTGGAAGAAGACAGAGAAACATATGGCTTGCAGTATTGCAAAAACAAATTGCTTCAGAAGAAAGCGTGCCTCTCCATTTACCTTCTCAGCCAATCCTTATAGTTAATCACAGCAACTAAGTGCAATGCTGTTCCATATGGAAGCACAGTAGCTGTGGTACAGAAATTTACACACGTACAACTGTCACAAGAATCCTGAGACCTGGGACTGGAGAGTTAATAGCCAGACAGGAACACTTCATGAAAAGAGGAAAAAGTTGCACATTCCTTGAAGCTTACTCTTTCCAAGGCACTTTCTTGGCCAAAAGGCTTAAGCTTTCACCTCATGTGCTCCTTCATGTATCACTGTGCTCCATAAGTTTTGGCTACTTGATAGAGTAAGCAGCAGTAACACGGGTAATGCAGTTCTGAACTCACTGAAATCAATGGCAAGATGCCAGTGGAATACAGCATGCCAAAATTTTTCTTTTTATGTGTATTCAGTTATATGAAAATGCTGGCTTAAAAAAAAACAACAAAAAAACCCGTCTGCTCCTTTTCTGAATATTACAGGAAAATACCACAACAGCATCGCTGTTCTCTAGCTATTTGCTGTTATAATTAATTGTTGGATTAGATTGTGCTCCAGGGTTCCAGACATAATGCGATTGTCTTGGCAGCTTTGCTGTATCTTCACTTTAATCAATTATGTAATCGGATTGTCCTTGCTCCTCCAGTATTTTGTAGATCTCTCTTGGAGTGATTAGAAAAGATTTAGAAGATACTATGTGCCCTCAGTGAGCACATAACTCCAAATCTCATTACCATATTCAGAACAGGACTATTTAAACAAGAGGCCCAAGTCCCAGTTTAGGCTGTTAGTAAATTTTTTTCCAGACCTCATGAGGGTGAGTTACGGTAGGATTTGTCTCATCTCATTTAGCCATTTCCATTGCAAGTATCTTCACCCAATCCTAGGCACTAGAATGGGCCCCAAGCTGCTGGAGTTCAACAAACCATTGGACGATGCACTCAGACTTAGGATTTGAATTTTGGGTGGTCCTGTGTGGAGCTAGGAGTTGGACTCAGGCATGCTTGTTGGTGATGTTTGTGCTTGTATGAGATTACTGCCTATTGCTGTTTACATACTCAACGAGGGAAATAGGCAATTTAAAGGCGTATCAATATTTGATCTGTTTTACATCTTCAAGATGAGATCAACTGAAAGCACTCAGCATCTTTCCCATGACTAGCAAAGGAGAACCTAAGAGGGAACTGTCTGTGCAGTAAATATACGTAGTTAGGTGGTGTTTAATCCTTCTGTGATCGTCTGCAAGAGATGCTTTATTCACTCCAGTTCCTGTTCCCACTGTAGATCCCAAATGGTGTACCATGATTAAGTGGCCAATTCGAAATCACAAGTATTGTTTCCTAGCTGATCTTGAAGAAATCAATATTAGTAGAGGCATTTAAAGATATATGCCCTAACCTCATGTAAAAGGAGCATGGAACTTTAAATACACTGCTGTTTTTTGACACTAGGTGGCAACAGTACACACTAGAAATAAATATTTCTCAAACTGCAAACATAAACATAACTTAAGGAACAATCAAAATAAGTACAGTAAAGAGAATAATAGAGAATATTTTCTTATACGAAATTGCAAAAAAATCAAACTGTATTTAGAAAAACGTATGTTTCCTCTAGCAAGGCATAGAACCTAAAGAAACTCTTACCAGAATCTGGCAGTCCTATTCTAAAGAGCTTATTCTTACTTTGAGTTGGAATGTGCCCTCCCATGAAGAAACATTTTTCAGAGATTCACCAGTCGACTCAAAGGATACAGGTAACTTTTACTGACTGGGTAATAAGGAGGGTCTGAATGCTAAAGTCTCAACTCCTTTTACACCGGAACAATTAAGTGCATGCATAAAGCTTGAGAGGAGTTTTGTTTTATAATCAAACACATTTGTAGAATTTACAAATGAATTTTCATTTCCAGCTCTGCAACAGAGAGTAATGTTTAGTGCCTTCTGTCTTTTAAGTATCATACATTTGAAAAAAAAGAAAAGAAGTCTGAAAGACTGCAGAGGGCTGTAATTGTGGCATTAGTTTGGGAGGAGAGATTGCAGCTGCAATCCTTTCAGGATGATCTAAGCCTTTTTGTGTGGTTGGTATCATTAGCTAGTGCAAAGGTAGAGAACACTGTGATTTTTTGATACAGCAGCACCTTTTTCTGTCCTGATGTATTTGAGGGTAGGTAGCATGGCTGTGTCTATATGGGAATTCACAGCTGCTCAGGGAAACTTCCCTGTTCCTCCCTGCTCATTGGTTTAAGGATAATTTCTCTTTCTCATTGCGATGACTTCTATGGTAAAGCTCTCCACCACAGCTACACTGCCGTTTGAGTCTCCCAGTTGTGTTATTTATGGAGTATCCCATAACTGCTAATATCCCATGAGTGCTGATAAGTTTTGTGATACTGCAGTCCCACCCTTACAGTAAGTAGGAATTTAGGAATACTATGGATTAGAATAAGCAACTCTTTTAACAATTACCAAAGTATGGATGGAGTACATTTTCTAGTCTATATACAAATATACCCTTTTAATACCACTACCATCTTGAAAGGAAAAAAAAACCCTCTTTCTTTTGTAAAATGTCTTTCTGAGCTATAGATGATTTTCCTGTTAAACAAAGTGGGCACTGACTACACTAACATGCTGCAGAGTTTTCTGCAGTACTAAAACCAGAACAATGACTTCACAGTAAAAGAACATAAAAAAGATCCTTAAATGTACTTACATATTATATACATCTATCCTTGTTCTTATGTGTGTGTGAACTACTTACATTTTTTGTTATAAAATCACACAGCAGAGTACAGATCTAGAATTTAGGCAGTGAGGGTGTCTTTGAAACTGCAAGAGCCACATCTGTACTGTCTTTTAAGTATACTCCTACATCTACTTTCAAGCAAGAGTGCACTAAGAGTCCACTTTATCTCTGTTCAGCTCTATGCTATGGTCAGACAGTATGTGTACCCAGGATTCAGATTTTGAGCTTGTCAGTGGGTAATTTTGGGGAGAGAAACTCTTTATCACCAACAACAGGCAAACTTCTAAGCCAATCTCAGAAGTTTAAAGTCCACAGAACAAATTCCAATTCTTGTGTGACTGTGAGGTGAGCTTTGTCCTAAGGGAAATATTTTTGGAGGAGAGAAACAATGACCTTTCCTTACTGTTAGGTGAATATGGTAACTTCATAATTCATGGATGTGGAATACAAGGCAGAAAGATTAAGTGAACAGCTCAAGGCTATAAAGAAAATTTTGTATCAGAGCCTAGATCAGAAGAGAGGAATTGCTGACTCCCAGAGCTATGCTAAGATACCTCTCTGTGTTACAATAGTCCTATAAATCATCCTAAAAGCCAACAGTAATGCTTTATGACTCTCAGCACTGCAGATGCTATTAGTATTGTTGAGAAAGAGGGGAGGTTTTTTTTTTATGAACATGCAGTAATAATCATCCTTAACTCTTATAAGCATTTATTCATGTTCAAAGCACTTAAAATCTAAATCCAGTAAAACTGTGCTGTGCTGACCCTGCCTTCCCAGGAGTGTCCTTGAATATGCTTTTATCTAAAGAAAAAAAATCCTATTATTATTGTTATTTTGTAAAATGTACTTTCCAAAGCCTATGAAAACGATCTTGCAGACATATCAGGTTCCTTAGACTGACTCTTTTTTTTCTATCCTTAAGAAGTATTTATAAGACATGGTAAGTTTCTTGATAGCAACAGCACACTGAAAGAGAAGAAATATCCTAATTTGAACCCGTGTATTTCAGGATATGTCTCCATTTCATTCCGAATGATAGTATTTGCTTATTTTCTGTCTGTATGTGAGACAGATTCTGCCCAATCACCTTTCCTGAAACAGTCAGTTAGACCTGAAGGCTTGTAGTAAAGCTCAAATGATTCCTTCACTGGAAAAGGTAGAAAATCTAGGATGTTTGGGAAGAGTAGAAAGATTCCTAAATATTGTAAAGTTATTTTCCAGGAACTCTTTCCGTGTCTCTACAGAAGGGATTTTCAGGTTGAGCAAGGGCAGACATGTTGAATACATGTCTACATGAGCTACTCTCTTCTTCAGTGTAGGCGGCACATTTAATCTTAGGCTAGTGTATCTCAAAGGTCAATGACTCAACAGAACACATGCAAAACATAAAACACATGCAAATCCCTCAGACGCCAGTGGGCTTTTAGCAAATGCTAACTTATAAGGCTGCTATATTTGAAGCCTTTAGTTTTTAAGTAGTAGTATGATTGTTTTAAAGCTGCTCTGCAACTTGCAGAGAATGTTCCAGGTCTCAGAACTCCCAGGACATAACTGGCTTCCCAAGGCTATGTACTGGGACCTGAGGACTTAGACTATAGTATTTATGGTGAAACAAGAGGAAAATATTTTGGCAGTATAACAAGTATTTTTTAACACATCTGACTAAAGCTTAAAGTAGGATGATTTGGAAGTAAAATAGACGTAGAAGCAAACACATCATACTTTAACTAATAAGCTATGTTAAGAAACAAGAAGATGAAGACACCATCTTAATGTCAAATTATCTAATTAAATGTATAATGGCATCAAATACATCACAGTACACCAAAAAACCAACAATGGGAGTTAAATTCCAAACTGAAGAGGTCTGAGATAAAGAGCTCTGTTATGAAAGTTCTACCGATGCCCTTGGAAGACTGTTTCTGTTCACAGATTCAACTGTCTCAGAGTAGAGGGTTTGCTGTTGAGAGGGCCAGCCTGTGCAGGGGAAACAAAAAAGCAACATCTGCTCTCAAGCTTGGCAATTGAATTCACCTGGCTGAGCTGATGATTTCAATTGAGTTTCAGAAAATACTCTTTTATTCTGTTAAATATCTAGGGCCTCCCACTCCCTTTGAACACCATAAGCTTCTTGACAATTCGAAATTAAAGCACAAATTTCCAATGTTTACAAATGTGATGGGAGCCCTTTGCATTCTGGTAACTCTCAAGTCAAAAATAGTCCCCAGAAGTCAAATTCAGATAGCATGAATTGGCTCAGAGACATATCAAACTCCTATCTGGAACTGGAAAGGTTGCAAGGCAGTGATGTCATCTACTGCTTTCTGTCAGGCATGATGTGGATTGTTGCTATAAAGTTTCAGGTCTTGAAGAATCAGGTCTGAAGTTTTATAGATTATGGAGGACATCTGCTTATTTGAACGGGAAATAAACTAAAGTGACTTTAAGAAAGAAACAATATAAAAAGTTGCACAGATCCTCATTCACAAATAATCACCAAACATGAAAGAAATCTATTAAAATATCATCCAGATTCAGTAAGCTCTGAAATGATGCCATTATTTGATGTGGTGACTGATGTCTCAGACAAAAATCCCACAGTGTTCTCTCATCTGGAAAATAAAAAGATATTTCGGTGTTGCTAGTAGGTTTTCATTTGACATTCAGACATGAGCTCATGCAGGCATTTAACAAAAAAATCTGAGAGTTTTTTTTGTGTACAAATGCCATAGCTCTTTAGCTTAGTGTCCTCAGAAAACCACTTTTAATGAAATGCAGTTAAAAAAAAATAATAATAATTCATAGACCTTTCATTAAAATTGCATTCCACATCTCAGGTCCACATTCACTAATTTACCAATTTTCCTTAATCAAGTGCTTGTGCTTAGTTAACCGCTTAACTGACTTCCTTGAAACTATCACTGTTCAAATTCATCACATATACAGTGCATAGAATGCCATATATTTTATATATTTTTTTTCATTTAGCCATTGTTTCTCTGATTTTCCTTGGTTAAATTAGTCAAGATTCTGCAGATAGCAATCACGTGGGTTGGTCTAGCACTTGCATTCAGCTTTAAAGCTATCTTTTCTCTGGAATAACTTACATATCTGCATTCTTAGTAGTGTCACTTCATGCACGCATTATAAAATCTGCCCATAAACACATTAACGTAATGGAATCTGTCTAGTATTTTACACTCTTTAGGAGTTATCATTAAGAGGCTTAAATTTTAATTTAAAAATAAAGTCATGTAAGCTATAATTATTGGTAACTTTGTTGCTTCTACAAGTCACTTCATTCTGTGCTCTTAACATATCCCAACAAGCAAGTGGTTTGTTTACATCGATCCAAAACATCAAGAAAAAATCAGTCTTGTACATCGTGCTGATGACTGTGCAAGTCTGATCCTGCTGTCCTTCCCACGAAATAGGCCACAGTACGACTCCACCAGCCATTTACACAGATACTAGTTTTGAGTATTCTCCAACCCAGGAGTGATAATATAGCCCAGGAATTAGCAAGGGATGAGAGCTCCAAACTGAGAGGAAGGCTGTTGTGCCAAGTGAAAGCGTATAGCAGATAAAAAGTGTGATCCTAAGTAATTTCACATGTGAAATAGTCCATAGCTTTTTTCTGAAATAGCTGAAGTAGTCTTGGCATGGAATGGCTTCGTGTCTTGATTCCATTGACTTTACTCTGAATATGTTCCCTGTTTTGAGCTGTATGATACTCCTTATTTCTTGACTCAGACTGACTCGAGCTGTTGCCATTGAGCAAAAGCCGGAGGCAATTCCAGAAAGCCTTTTTGTCTGTAGTGAAGAATGACGGATAGTTTGCAAAATGTTCAGGCATCCTCCACAGAGAAATGTACTGCTTAGGTCTGTGGTATTTTCGTTGTAATAGGTCAGCACAGTTCATGTATTAAGAACAGCAACATGGGAATTACAATGCTTAAACACTGTTAGATCTGCTATCCTGTTATTACCACGTCTAAACACCAGATGTTTCAGAAAGAGATTTAATCAAGTTCTTAATACAAATATATATAGCTTTACTGTCATTTCATGGGTTAAATCCTTCTAATAATACTGGTATTGAACTGTATATTTGGAATGAATGTGAATCATCCACAGCACTTCAGATGAAACAACTGTAAGAAGGCAGACTTCAAACTATTTTACTTACACAAATTCATATGTTTTACTTCTTAAATATGTGAATGAAATAGAAATGAGTGACCTGATCCCAGAATGCTTTGATCAAAAAGATACAAAACTCTTATCAAAATGTCATCTGAAAAAGAAAGTTAGATCAGGAAAATCAGCACTTGCTTCAGCTTTTCATTTCCAGAGTTGGTCATAGCCTAAGTGTAAGGTGTTGGCTTCCTGCTGTTTTTTGTTTGTTTGGAAATTTTCAGTGGAAACAGAGACTTTTTTTACAAAGAATGGGACAAAAGAGAAATACAGTCCTCTACCCGAGGTAAATGACACTGACGACCTTTTTTCTTTGTCTGAAAAAGTATAAAGTTTTCACATCTTTGAGGCAGATCTTCCGAGTTGCTTGGCAGGGACATCAGAAAGGAGCACTTAGCACTTCTGTCAGGCCTCCAGCTCTTAAGAAAGATAGTCAGAAAACAAGAACATAGTGATCATCTGAAGAATACTTACCTGAAGGGGAGTCTGGCATCACACAGGAGCTCTGCGGAAAAAAAAACAGGAAGAGAAAACAATTGAGGGGAGGCTGGAAGCAAAAAGAGAAAACAAAAGATCAGCTTTTCTGTTCCAGTGCCTGCCTCATTCATCCGAGCCCTTGATCCCTCAGGAAATGAGGCTTCTCCAGGCTGATTTGGTCCCCAGCACAGCTTGGAAAGAACTGCGCGTGGTGTGTAATCAAACATTGTGCTGACATGAAATGGAGCTTAATCCACCTTATCCACCTGATATGGATGTAGATATCTCACTCTGCTAGTACTGGTTTTGTTACCCCAGGTAAAATTTGCTGTGACCAGTACTGTATTCCATGAAATCAAGTCCTAGTACTGAAATAGTTGGGTTACTGCAAGATTTTTAATTCTGCTGAACAGAATTACTCTGATGTTCAGAGCAATTTCATCTTGGTACACACAAGCTGTTCCATTGTGGAAAAATCCTACAACTTCAAAAGAGGCCTTACTCCCTTCCTTGCTCTTAGAAAACCAGATGCATCACAAAAACATTGGGCTGGGGTCAACTTGTTTTCTTTGGGTTGTTGCACTGCTGAGCTTTTTCTTGCTGTAACTGTCAACATGCAGTGCAATGCTTTCTGTGCATTTTTCTAAATCTCCTTGTGCTTTGAGTTTATCAGGGAAGCAAAAAGAGATTAGGCTGATTGCCTTTAAAGCAGGATGAAGGACCTACCTGTTTGCTGAGGGCTTCCTGCCATTACTAATAAAACGGGGAAAGCAAAAACCAAGTGGTACTTCTTAGAGAATGAGGTGATCCAGGAGCCAGTTTCTGGTGAGTTCATTCCTAGAAGTCACAGTGAAAATCTGTCAGCTTTTAATTTAGACATTCAGTAAAATAACACTGACTACGTAATGTATCAATTACCAACCTTAAATTTTACAGTGTAACAGTCACAGTCTTTATTCCATTTCCTTGTACAAATTCCTTTTTCTTTTTTCTTGCTGTTTCCATGAAATTTATTGACAAGGATTTTTTCTTCAAGACATTCTGTTAGCATATCTGTGAGAGGATTGAAACCTGCACTATTTTTCCCACTTCTGGGACATCTGAACCCAAGATAGTATAAGCCCTGCATTATTAATGGCATTTTACATATTTTATTGTTGTTTTTTTTTTTTCCATGACAATGGTAGATGAAAATGAGCAGTTAATTCTCACCATGTAAAGAATTCATGTAGAAGCAGGTTGCCCACAACACTTCTCACCGTTACCTATTCAATGACTGAACATCACTCATTTCAGTTCTGAAATCAAAATCCAAAATTCCTGAATGTGGCCCTGTAAGATTTGGGAACTGCAAAACACCCCTTCTGGTCAATACTCTCTACCTTTCTCAAATGTGGGAAAGGAAAAAAAAATAAAGGCAAAAAAGGAATTATATTAAATGTAGAATGTTCCACAAATTTTGGAAGGCAGATTAGATCAGATGGAGGGGGAGAAGGCATTTCCAGAATAAAAATTAAAAAAAAAGGAGGGTTCTCATGATATGCACAGCTGCATGGAATCTTGTCAACTGAATGTTGCAAAATAAGGACATTATCAGTTTCAGTGTCTCCTGGATGCTGAGGCAGGTGTTAAGAACTGCATTAATTACCGAATAGTTCAGACCTAGCTAAGGATGAGGACATCTTTGTGAGATACTTCATCTTTACCTTCACTTTTCTGTACTTGGCCTTCTGAAGTGTGTCACTGAGTTCCAGCTCAGGAGTATCCCTGCACTAATACCTGTTCTTTTATGGCCTTCAACAAGTACAGCTGGTTATACTCAGTGCATACATCAGGACAGGAAGTGTAGGTAGCAAAACATACCTTAACTGCTGCCATTTGTCAGCATAACTCAGGCAAACAAATTGCATGTAAGATTTGCACTTTCTACAAATACAGTGTTTATAAAAAGACAGTGTTTTCCTCAGAAGCAGGAAAGGACTTCACTAGAAAACTTCTCATTTTTTCTTTGTACCTGTCATGTTTTCTTGGCTAAGAAACCATAGAGTATTAAGTATGCAAAAGCAGAGATAGAGTATGGATTTTAAGCTTTTTCTCTCATCTGGTTCCTTGGTCATTATCTTATGTGCTGATAAATATTCAGTTGCTGACAACTGAACTATGAAGCATCAGTTGAAAAGAAGAAAATGAATGCAAATTCTCTTTTAATTACCTCAAGAATTTTCCATATCACTCTGTAATATAATAGCCTTATTCACCAGCATGCATTCTTCACTAATACTCCCATGAAGTAAGGAAACTTCATTATCTTTCTTTTACCAATGAAATGTAACCAGAAAAGATTAAATGACTTGCTGAAAGTTACACCAAGGCAATAGCAAAGCCAAGTTCAAAATATTAATTTCTTGAGTCTCTATACAGTTCCTTAACACTAAATTTACCATCCTGTACCCATTTTTCTTCCTCTGTAATAAAATATTTTCTCACAATTTCAGTATTTTAGCCAATTATTTAAGCTGTAACTGGTATTTCTGGTGATTGCATATTAGTTTATAATCTATTTTTCCACCATAGAAAAGACTGTAATCTTTATAAAAGGAGATCACAATTAAAATCAGAAGTAATATTGTAATAGATATGTTTGTTATTTTTACCTGAGATTACTTTCTTTTCTTGAAAATATATGGGGATAGGCATACTTTTACCATAACTCATTTTGCATTCCAGTTATGAATATAATCTTTTACTTTCTTATTCTAAAAAAATTATAACCTTTACTGACATTTTTGCGCTTAGAGAGAAGACAGATCCGATATCATCAAATGATTATCATGCTTCAATATCCCAGGAAAAAAATCTTTACCTTATTACTGAAAGTTCTCTGTGAAGGACATCTCTCAGGGTCACTTTTGACTTTGTACACCGAGAAAAACACCAGTTCCCTTTTCCTGCATAGGATAACTTAGGACTACTTCCAGTACTCAGATTTAAGTCTAAATCAAAGTTCCATGAATTCTGTTTTAGGTTTGGCATTTAAAATCCTCTAGTGAATAACTTGAAAGATGGAGCAGCATTTATGGATGACAATTAGCTGAAAATTTTACAGAGCAGCAGAAAGCTATCATGTAGCTGCTTATGTCATGGTAAAACTCCTTTGATTCCAGCACAAAAACTACATGTCTTTCACCTTTGATGAAAAGTCAAAGTGACATGGAAATCTCTTAGATTAATTGTTGGACCAGTTTGTGTTCTGACAAACAGGGCCTGAGCTATGTTACATTAATGTTTCTAGGTTGACATGCAATACATATTTTTAAATTATTTTCTGTGGAGAATGGCTTGCACCCCAGAACTGGGAATAGCTTTCTCAGACTAAAGAAAGATATTTGCTTCAATCAGTGATTAAAGGCACTTGGAATAAGAGAGTATGAGTCCTTGCTGCTGACACTGGTGTGTGTAGAACTACCACTGGGTGAGCTCTACTTGCTCTCGTGAGAGTTGGACTCTGAGGAGATTTTTTTCTATCTAAGTGCTTTAACCACTAGTCTGTATGCCTGGATAGGAATACTCCATTATGTATCATATGCATTGAATACTTTCCTGCTTATATTTCTGCCTATTCATATATATATATATGCATAAATTGAGCTCCTGTTTTCTTATTCTGTGATTTCATCAGTGTCCTCTCCACTGAAGAATGGCACAGTTTCAATGGGGAATGGTAAACAGTGCAACCTCCTTCATATAGAATTCCATCAGGATGGAGCTGCTTCCAGATGTCCTGCTTTTTGGAGTATTCATCTTTTGTTTTTTATTTGAAAAAATACTGCCTGGTAAATATTGCCCCAGTAGTTGAAAAACAAGGATACTTACGCTTAGTAGAGGGTACTGAGCCGTGGGTCACTGTCACTACAGCCCTGTGATTCTCAGTCAATGATCCAAGTGCAGAAAAGGGGAGAGTTTTGTAAAAAAACTGTCTAGCTATAGGCAGTGACATTTGATTTTAAATCCTCTTTGTAAACATTTAGCCCTTTTCATAAAGAACTTAAATTTAAAATGTGAGTTCCCATTTCTAGGACTTGCCATCAGATGTTTAGGTTGGAGTATCCATTGTCAAGTCTTGCCCATGGGCCTTAGTTCAACGTGTGAAAGTCTGTGAACCTTTTAGATAACGGGTTTCTTTTCCTTCACACTGAATCCAATGAGTCAGTAAAATTAGGAAGTGCATTTACATGAAGTATGACTCATATTTTTAATTAAAAAGTTGGCAAAAGTAGTAGAGGACATGTCTTTCTGTAACATTAATTTTGCAAATAGCATTCAACTACTGCCAAAATTCTTGTCATTACTGTTGGTTATTTAGTCCCATTAGTAATATTTCTTCTGGTCCTAAGTGCTTATTTTTCTAGTCACATGAGAGTGATGTGCTCAGGTAACTCTTCTTCTTATGAACTGCAATGAAGGACCTAGGCCAAGTGCAGAGTTCACTAAAGTTCTTTTGGAGCCACAGTGATTTAGTACCTTCCCAACAGAACTGCATGCTTGCAGTTCTCAGTTTGAAGAGAAAAGGCACCAAAGAAAACAGGCACCCTTAAAACTCGAATTTCATACATTTTTAAACAAAAAAAAAATTGTTGTTATGGATTTGTCTTTGACATCTTCATATCTCCCTTACTTTGGCTTTAGAATAATTGCTGACAACGATATTAACACTGGGTGCTACAGTTTGTCTTATATTTATTGGAATTTGTCCAAGACATCACTGTTTTTCTTTCATAATTCAAAAGCTGGAAAAACCTGTAGCTAAGAAAGAACTAATTAAAGATAATCAGTGGAGTGTCTTGATATTTTATTATTTGCTTGCACACAGATAACACCTAAATATTTGATACATATTATTCAGATGAAGAACTTATTCTTTACTCAGTGAAGTTCTAGAAAGAGCAGAGGTTTTCAGCTTGTGGAAGAGAAAAAGGAGAAATTTAGGAGATTGACAAAAAAGAGCCATAAATCTGGAAAACATGATCTGTAAGGCTAGAGTGGCCAAGGGTTATTTAGACAAAAGAAAAGAAGACTATCAGGAAAAAAAAAGGGAAAAGAAGGTTAGCCTTCAAATAAGAAAAGGTCTTTAGTAAGGGTCAAGGAAATATTTTGTTCCCTATGATATACACGTGTATGCAACAAGATACAAGCTTACGTTACATCTGAAAATTCAGGTCAGACACCATGAAGTATTCTAACAGTAAGAATAGGAAAAAGAGATGGAAAAGCTTCCTGGGGAAGGTCATGGGCAGTACCCTCACTACACAGAAAGCCAATCATATTCTGGGTTGCATCTAAAGGAAGGTGGCCAACAGATTGAGGGAGGTGATCCTGCTCTCTACTCTGGGCTGGTGAGGCCTCACCTGGAACAGTACATCCACATGTGGAGTCCTCAGTACAGGGGAGACACAGACCTGCTGGAACACATCCAGAGAAGGGCCACAAAAATGGTCCAAGGATTGGAACATCCCCCCTTATGTAGACAGACTGAGAGAGCTGGGGCAGTTCAGTCTGAAGAAGAGAAGGCTGTGAGGTGACCTGAAAGTGGCCTTTCACTAAATAGAGGCTATAAGACAGAGGGGGACAGACTCTTTAACAGGGTCTGTGATGATAAGACAGAGGAAAATGGTTTCAGATTTGAAGTGGGGAGATTTAGGTTGGATATAAAGAATAAGTCTTTTACAGTGAGAGTGGTGAGGTACTGGAACATGTTGCCCAGAGATGTAGTGGAAGCCTCATCCCTGGATGGGGGCTCTGAGCACCCAGATCTGGTTGTAGGTATCCTTGTTA